AGCGCTTTCTGAAGGAGGCTTATAGAAACACAATAGAGAGAGCGAAAGATTGGAATAATCTAGTTTGAGGGCCAAGGATTCGGCGTGAGAAAATACTAAATCTAGGGTAGAGACTTCCCATCTTTGGTGCACGTAAGCTACAATGCCACCTCCACTGCGGGTTGGTCTTAGAGAAAAAAAAGTATTGTAATCTTTGATGGTGTATTGGCTAAGCATAGATTCAGGAATATTAGTTTCAGTGAAAATAAAAGCATCGACGTAAGACATCAAATCCCGAGCAATTAATAAGAAATAATCCCAGTGTTTGCGGAGGCTCCGAACGTTAACATGTAAACAGACAAAAGTTGCTCCCTTCGGTTTTCCTAGGAATGCATGAAATGCCGTTAAGTTACTAACAGTTGAAAAGTTAGCGTTCATGGTCTAAACGATCTTTTCAATGTCCGCCACGGAATTAATCCGTAACAGAGGCGATCCTTCAGCTTTCCTTGCGTAAATTTGTGCATTTTTTGTCCAAATGTACCTGTAGTGCATCTCCTTTCCCCTGCTTCTTGCAATCCAGAACAGCTCACGGTTAGCACGGGTGAGGTTATCGTTGAAAAACACCTTGGGAAGAGCGCCGTCACGGTTGAGGTCTCTCAGTCGTCCACGACAACCCATCCACTGCTCCTTTAGATCGACCGAAGCAAAGCTTACCAGGAGCGGAGGGACACCATCAGGCTTGTTCTTCTTGTTGGGCAGACGCCGAATGGAAAGGACGTCGGATGTTCGGAACTGAGGGAGGCCGATCTTGGAGGCTAGGTCACAAAGACCCTTGCCCAGGTTTTCGTTTGGAGTGAATGGTATTCCCTGGATCTCCATATTCGATAACCGGTCCTGTTGGTCACGATCATTTAGCTCAGCTTTAAGCTGGAGGATGGTGTTGGCCTGCTCTCTAACGGTAGCCTGTAGCGCTCCGATTTCGCCACTCATTCCCTCTGACGCTTCTTTTTGAGCCTTGGCTTCAGCTATTACGGAGTAATATTGCGCACTGAGGAATTTAACGGAATCTTCAACGTCTTGGACGGTAGTCCGGAGCCAATCTACCGTAGGTTTCAGAGCCAACAGCGCGTCGACTTTTTCAGGAAGTGTTAAAAGCGTGTCTACGCTTTCTTTTAAGCACAGCAACCTGGCTAGCTTTTCATTGACAGAAGCCAGTTGTGCCGAGAAACTGTTGGGGTCCTCTTGGAAGGTAACATCCCCACTTCCTGAGCCAGCACGGCTGTCTTTGCTACGGCAAGTCTTGCAGCGCCATTTCTCACGCTTCGACGCTCCCATCGTCGTGAAGGTAGCCTCTGCGATGCCGGCGCATTGCCCCAAATGTAAGGCGCTGTGGCAATCCGCACATGTCATAAACCTACCATCTGCCGACACACTCGCACCACACACACCACAGGTAAGGGGTGGGGACATGATGAGGCAGCAGGAAGTTAGTCCATAGATGGCAACGAGAGGAAAGAGGCAACAGGGGAAAAGCAGGGCCACTAAGTGAGACGTTCAGCTCACCGTCCTGACCGTTGTGCCAAGGAAGCCATGATAGTGGACGGGTGATGCAAAACCAGGTAGGGTGGTGTCACCGAGGGCAATAAAGGCAGCGGTAACTCGGTGTGGATCAAGGATTGGTCCCGCGATGTCGCCAGGGCTTCAAATTGCTGTCTAGATTGGTTGCTGGTGTTGGAGAAGCTTAATAACTGAAAATTTTACCGAAAATCTTGAGAGCCATCGAAAGAACGGGTGATCTCGGCGACTTCGTCGTCGTCGACGAAGTCGAATAATAATAATAATAATAATAATAATAATCTTTTTATTCACACAACGCTTTCGGTATGTCAAATGACGGGTCCGTCTAAGCCGACAATGGCTTGTAGGACTGGACCCAGCAAATTCGCATAGGCGAAAAAAAGAACACATGAATAAACAAACACGTACACAAGGCTTCGGCTAACCAGCTTCCCAAGTCAAATCCAAAAAAAAAAAAAAACACAAAACAAATATACATAAGCGAGAAAATAATGAAGAACGCACATAGAAGCAAACACACGATCATGAGCTTCAACTAACCAGCATCCCAATTCAACTCAAAACGACAACAGCACAATAATTAGCTTTCACAAGCATAATGACGAAGCCACTTCTTCAACTCTCCTTTGCCAGTAGCACTGAAAATATCTTCAGGAAGGGTATTAAAAATGTCTGACACGTAAAACGGCCGCATTCGTTTTCCATATCTGGTGACACATCTTTGCACTTCATACCGAGGAGACGTTCTGAGGAGGCGCGATGGTGTATGAACTGTTTTAAAACTTTCACTCCAAAAATGGCGTAGCACAACAGTTTCAGTATACAAACTACGTAATCTTGGCATCTGCAAATCTCTAAAAAAATCCTCACTGGATGAAAAACATGAGTTATACGCTACACTTCGCAAAATTCCTTTCAAAATGCTGTCAATTTTAGAGTGCCAAGATGTTGTGCAATAGGCATGTAGCGTCACCCCATATCGCAGTACACTGTACGCAAGCGCATGGACAATCGTTTTTCTAACCTTAAAAGGAACAAACATTCTCATATTATACAACATACATGCAACTCTCCTTAGCACACAACACAGATGTGCCATATGTTTGTTCCACGACATATCATATTCAAAAATCAGACCCATATATCTTGTATAGTCCACCCATGGAACAGGCTTACAACAACAAAGTTTGCAACCAGAACTGTGTAGAAGAAAAGGGGCATTGGAGAATCCGGGTTTCAGGGGATTACGGAAACAGACGAGTTTAGTTTTTAATGGGTTAACTCTTATACGGTTGGCCGCATACCAGTCCATAACTTTAAGCACATTTAACTGCAGAGCGTGAACCGCCTTTTCGAAATTGATGTGTCGTGAAACAAGCAAGGTGTCGTCGGCATACTGAAAAATATCACATCCAGAAATAACAGTTTCTAGGTCATTTACATAAACATTAAAAAGTAATGGGGATAGCACCGAACCCTGAGGGACGCCGGTTTCGAGCAACTGGGTTGAGCTATTAACTTTATCTATAGAAACCACCTGGGCCCTACCTTCTAACAGATTTTTCAAGAGCGAGTGAAAAGGTCCACGGAAACCGAACCTCCAAAGCTTCTCTAATAATATCTCATGATTTACCGTGTCGAAGGCCTTGCTGACGTCTAGAAAAACGGCACATGAAAACATGTTGCCCTCAAAACCAGAGTAAATTTTGTCAGCTACATCCTCTAAAAGTAACTGCGTACCACTCCCAGAAATAAACCCATATTGCCTAGAAGAAAACAGCGAACACTGATCAATGAAACTGGTCATTATATGGAAAATGTGTTTCTCAAACACATGTTCTAGCACGGGCAAAATCGAAATCGGGCGGTAGTTTTCTACCTTTTTAGGATCCCCGCCTTTGAAAATCGGTCGCACTATAGCAGTCTTAAGCTCATTAGGGATCACGCCCAATTCGATAAATCCGTTTAACATGAAAAGAAGTGTATCCTGCAGATATCTGAAGTTTCTTTGAAGACAGCCAAGAGTTATACCATCCACGCCTGGAGACCTAGTGGGCTTAATACTGAAGAGAATCGAACGTAAATCGTCCAAGCTCATGGGATAAAGAAAAGCGGAGGTTGCGTTCATCTCTATTACTGCTTCCGAAATACCAACTCTTTCTGGAGCAGAAGTGGATCTAACAAAGTAGGAATTGAATCGTTCAACAATATCTCTCAATTTGTTACCGAAATGTTTTTTTACAACGTCATCCACGGATGGCTTTCGCTGATGACCACGAACAGTATTAACAAGTGACCATGTCTCTGAAGAGCTAAAGCGCGCCTTTTCAAACTTGTTCTTGAAGTGCTTTCTTTTCGCCAGTCGAAGCATAGCATTAGCTCTTTTCCTCGCGATCCTAAATTCAGAACGAAGTTTATTATTCTCTGGTGCCCGCCGACTCCGTGCCCAAGCGAGTTCTTTTGCTTTTATGGCGGTAAGTACCTCCGTGTTCAACCATGCGTGATCCGGTCTTCGTTTTTTTATTCTAACTGTTCGTTTACATTTCTCTGTGAAAGAATTAATGATCTGTGTGAACTTTGTGTACAGGTCGGATTGGGATGTGGACTTACGAAATGAGATCCAATCAAATGTCGAAATGAGGCGATCTAGTTTTACATTATCGATAATTTCTATTTGCTTTGTTTCGGCTTCAGGCTTTGTCTCCCCAGAGTTTACAAACTGACATCCTACAAAATAATGATCGGCCATTTTTTCCGTGATAACCGATGACATTGTAATGGTATTCTCAGCTCGAACGCAGATATGATCGATGCAGGACGTGACTAGTTCACCTGATATTATCTCTTCTCTTGTAGGAGCTTTAATAGTGCTTTCAATACCCTCGTTTGCAAGAATGTTTAAATAATCACACACATCAGATCGTTCCTGTTTCGCTACATCGATGTTAATATCGCCAACCAAGCAGAATAAACCCCTGTTATGCATTTCATTGAGTGTTTTTTTCAATTCTTCTAGAAAACTTCTAACGCTTTGTGAAGGAGGCCTATAACATGCTAAAATAAAAATAATAAAATTGGAATTCTCAATTTTAAGCGCAATCGTTTCTGCATGAGAAAAAGAGATGTCGAGTTTAGAAACCAGCCATTTGTTCTTAATGAAAACCGCGATCCCCCCACCCCCCACATTTGACCGCGAAAACCAGAAGGAATTATAGCCAGCTAATTTAAACAGATCCCACCAATCCTCAGACACATTAGTCTCGGTAAGTACAAAAATGTCCGTGTTTGCTGTCACGTCCTTAACAAGAAGGTTGAAGAGGCTCCAATATTTCCTTATGCTTCTAATGTTCACGTGTAATACCAAGAAAAGTTGGCTCTTTATATTGAGCCCCTGTTTGAAAACCTTGAAATCTCCACATTCTTGAAAATTTGTCGACATTACTTTAGCTTATATTCTCAAGGTCGTTGATTGTGTTTACCCTGACTAGCGCTGAGCCTTGTTCTTTTTTCGCAAAAATTTTCCCTCCCTTTACCCAGACATATTTAAATAGCACCTCCTTGGCTTTTGACCTGGCCATCCAGAATAATTCTCTGTTTGCTCGAGTCAGGTTTTCGTTAAAGTAAACCTTCGGCAGTTTACCTGAATTATAAAGTGAGCTCAATCGTACGCGACGGCTCATCCATTCATCGTACACCTTCACAGACGCAAACCTTATCAAAACTGGGGGCGCAGGGCCGGGCTTCGTTGCAAGACGGTGGATGGCAAGGACGTCTCCTGCTTGGAGTGGAGGCAAATCTAATTTGTCTCCAAGATCGGCGATGATTCGTTCCAAATTTTCATCCTTGTGGCATGGCAGTCCGTGGATTTCCAGGTTTGTCGACCGACTCCGCTGCTCCAAGTGGTTCAAGTCTCCCTGCAGTCGCTGGATAGTACGCGATTGTTCGTCCGCAACACTGCACACCTCAGCCAACCGGACCTGGAGTGCTTCGGTGTTCTTTTCGTTTTCGGTTGCCTTAGCAAGCACCGAGTCATACTTCAATGTAAGGTCGCCAATAGATTGTTGAAGTGTCTTGACTGTTTCTTGCAGGCATTGAACTGCCGGCTTCAAAGTTAGCAGCTCATCGACCTTGGAAGGAAGTGTGAGGAGAGTGTCGACGTTCGCCTTGAGAGAGACCAATAAGTCCAACTTGGTATTGACCGCGCTGAGAAGTTCCTCGGATGCACAGATGCCTTGAGGTTCCTCAGACACACTTCCCTGCGTCGAACTGGAGTCGGCAGAGCGGCAAGACCGGCAGCGCCATTTCTCTCTTCTTTCTTGGCCCATCGCGCCGAAGGTTGATTCTTTTATTCCGGCACAAGACCCCAAGTGGTAAAGACTCTTGCAGGCACCGCACGTCATGAATTTACCATCAGATGGGACAGGTTTCAAGCACACCGAACAGTCACCGAGAGAATTCATTGCGGGTAGTAGGCTTACCGATGGAGCCGGCGTCCGATCAAGGTGTAGTGAACGAAGTTCGAGCAAGGCTTCTGCTTGTGATGAAGTCGGCGTTTCACTTGAGTCCGTGAATGATCACTGGGTTCATATGTCTCGAGATGTAGTGATTGCCAGTTGAAATTTGCAGAGCAGTTAAGATGCAACGGCCGCTTTTGGGAACTTCTTCTTCTTCTATCTTTATAATAATAATAATAATAATAATAATAATAATAATAATAATAATAATAATAATAATAATAATAATAATAATAATAATAATAATAATAATAATAATCAATCAATCAATCAATCAATCAATGTTTATTAAAGTGTCCAGGAACAACCAATCGGTCTTAGTGCTGGTACACTAAAAAAAAAATGAGCAAAAACACACACATACAAACACGCATACACGCGAGTGCAGAAGGAGAACGTAGTTCTCCAGTCTGAGAATAAAAATATTAACAAGTATGAAAAACACTCAGATTAACAAGGGAAATCAAAAGCACAAAACAGAGACATCACCAGGTGTGAGAGCAAAAAGCAAATACTACATCAGCGCTTCAACTGATCAGCCCTTTTCCTGCAAGAGGAAGATCTGAACAGCATTTCCGAACTTGCTCCCGCATGAGTTAAAAATATCAATTGTGTCAGAGTAGCGATTATAACACTCCGCCGATCTTTGGATCGGGTTTAGGTTGCTAAAATGTCGAGCTATATAAAAAGATGATTGGAGCCGTGTAGGCACACGTGGAACTCTGAGGCTCACTTCGGACAGAAGGCTGGGAGAGTTAATCGAGCCGTGCAGGGTCTTAAACAAAAACAACAAATCTGCCTTCACCCGACGCTGCTGGAGGCTCAACAAGTTGACAAGTTGCGAGTTACACACACCGTTCAGACAAGGATCACCATTCTCAAGGTAACGATATTTAAAGATAGAAATAAATTTGTTTTGGACTCGCTCGACAGATGAACTGTTAGTTTTGGAAATGCCGTTCCAAACAACCGAGGCGTACTCTAGCTGGGATCTAACTAAGGAACAATACAGCGTAAAAAAAGCGGACGGGCTTTTGAACTCCTTCGTTATGCGAGACACGGCACCTAACGTGCGCAAGGCCGATTGAACCACTTTGATGACGTGAGTGTCAAATCTCAAGGTTGAATCAAAGACAACTCCAAGGTCCCTCAGTTCACTTACACGTGACAGCAGTTCGCCATGATAACTATATGGAAAGAATATATCATGGGTCTTGCGAGAATATGTCATTATTTTTGTTTTAGAATGATTCAAACGGAGGTCATTGTCTAAACACCAACGACCGAAGGAATATGCGTCATTCTGAAGCGCGATGCAATCCTCTAAGGTCGATATTTTTTGTAAAGTTTTATATCATCAGCGTACTGCAGAAATGAAGAATTTAATATAACTCGAGAGACATCATTTACAAAAATATTAAAAAGGTGGGGGCCCAAGACAGATCCCTGAGGCACTCCAGAGCTTGCCTTGTACAAGGACGAGGTAGTATTGTTGACGCGGACGTAGGCATGCCTATCAGACAAATAGCTTTTTAACAAATTGTATACCGAACCACATACTCCGTACGAAGAAAGCTTGTATAAGAGGATGTTGTGGTTGACTACGTCGAATGCCTTACTCAGGTCGAAATAAAAAACGTCAAGCTGACCTCTATTACAAACTACTTCAGAGGCAGCAGACATAAAAGATACGAGATTGGTGAATGTCGATCTGCCGGACATGAAACCATGCTGATTAGGAATGACTATACTACGAAACTTGAAGGAGAGAAATTGTTGGATTACCATTTCAAAGAGTTTGGAAAAAGAAGAGAGAAGAGAAATCGGTCTGTAATTAAGAAAATCACCACTATTTCCAGATTTCAGTACCGGAACAACCACTGCCAGTTTCCAGTCGTCAGGGAATATCCCTGACGACTGGAATAATAATAATAATAATAATAATAATAATAATAATACTGTATCTTATTGGCCGTGCTAATGGGGTATTAGCCAGGCCAGCACGACTCCTAGCATGGGTTTGTTAACGTGCATCACGCAGTAGTAATACACGACCGTACGCCGGTACGATGCTCATCCAGATCTAAACGGGCAGGGGTGGGCGATGAACCCAGGATCCCTGGGTTCTGCAGCGCGAGCTTTCACTCCACGTGATCCGAGCTGCGATACGTTAACACACTTGGCTGATGAATGGAATGTTCTTTATATTTGGAGGGTGTCAAAAAGGGAGTCGGAAAAAAGTATTGCCTTGGTGGAGTGCGGCGAAGCGACCATACACTTCCTTCAAACAGCTTTAGCAGAGGTGTTTTGCGACACTATCGAATATGTTTTTACTTGACGATACACTCATTCAACTTCCAGAAATCTGCTTTATGGGAAATATTGGCGTGATGAACTCTTGGTAATTGCGAAGGCGGTCGCCTGAAAAAAAATTAGTTTTAATTATTGAGCAGTGAACACTGTATTGATTCCCGTCTTGTGTGTGCTTCATTGCCTCTGCATTTACGGCTTCGGTGAGTGTGACAACTTTTTTGGTGTGTGTGGCTTAATCTCCAGCACCTTGTATTCACGGTGAGCGCTAACATTTAAGGGTAAGCCTTAAGATAGGGTGTAGGTCAGTGCTAACCCAATATCTTTGGGGAGCTAGCCGTAAGACAAGGTGATTGGCGCCTTTAATAGGTGTGAAAAATTTAATGCATAGCATCATAGGCACAAATTCCCGTCTCGAAAAGCACAGATTCACGTTAAATGTATACCATGCGTATACCACGTATATATGCACAGATTCGCGTATACCATATACCACGCGTAATAAAACACGCGTGGGTATATGAGGTCATGACTAAGACCAAACTGAAAAATCTAAATTATAAAGTCTACACACATACTCGGAATAAACATAACATTAAACTCAAGGAAGAGCCCCTGTCAAAGGAAATACGCTAGAAATATACCAATTCTTCACTTTTGTAAAACAAAAACGCGTGATGTGTGTTTAGAGGAGGCCGCAATATACATTTAACACCGGAAGTATGATGTAACCAGACGTTTACTGGCGAGCTGCGCGTTTATGTGAACTTTTAAAGGTTTATTTAACAAAGCGCAAGGCTAGATGTGCGAAAAACCGCATGACAAGATTGTCATCTGCCTTTTCACATCACCAGCTGTTAACACGAATGGTAACTTTAGCGCACAACTAAGTTCCCGCGCGCATCAAATCTTTCTACAATTTACTGATAAAGTGGTTTTGGACTACGCTCATCAATTTCTAGTTAAATCCATATGTTTATCCTCACTACTTAAAAGCTATTAACACATTTATTAATTATCCAACTAATCGTGACAATTAATCCCCCCTTCCCATATTACGTCGAAATGCGTATAACTCACCTGCAAGGACCGCATTAAAGTACTTTCCACGGTTCTTTTTTTAAGAAATTCGTTTGAAGTATAATCGAATGCCCTCCGCATTCAATTTTGCATTCGAAAGTAAGGTATACTTTTAGATTGATAAATTTCACTAATTAATATGTTTGTAGTCCATTGCTTTGTGTCCAAAGGCGTCTCCAAACATTTGCCCTTCTGCCGGGAAGGCGACCCTAAGTTCCCATGGAGACTACAGAAAATTATAATGGCTGGTTCAGACTTCTTCCTTGGACCGCTGCCGTATACTTTACGACCACCTATGACGAAATGGTTGCTAGGGCAACCGAGGTCCGCGAAACGCGTCACAGTGGAACAAAAGAGGCATGACGCAGTCTGCCTTACGCAATTGCAAATGACGGTGACGGTTGAAAGCAAGAGGGGGGGGGGGTGTGTTGTCCTTACCTACCTTCTGCGTAACACTTGACCTCCTCCCCCCCCCCCCCCCCCAAAGACTCTGCGCAAAGTGCAGACGACGCTCTTGTTCGCTCTGATTGGAGGGAGACAGCGGGTAGAGGCAAAGGGAGACTGCCTTTGCGTCTCCCCACTAATCCTTTCTCTTCTTCAGTTTCTCCCCGCATTAGTTGGCTTTGAACGGACACAAATCCAGAATGCATTTTCTACGTCGCAGCAACTAAGGAGTCCTTCAATAAGTCTGTGCTCATAGACGCGCTGGTTTTGCAGGACGCCCCCCTTGTCCAACAAATCGTGAATTCCGCGCGTCCGTGGCCCTTTGCGGGAATTCATTTCCCGCCGCTTACTATGCATTCATCGGCGGCGGTGGTAAGCGGCCGCTCTCGGCCTCCACTCGAGCAAGGGGCTCGACTCGGACGCGTGACGGAGAGTCTAAACGAACTTTTCAAAGAAGCCCATTTAACTGTCCTTCCAGCGCCTTTCCAAAGCCTGCCTATTACTTGGCCCAAAGCGACAGGCTGGCGGCATACCCAACAGGGCGTTTTGAATAAGGTGCGCTAATTAAATATAATACTGCGAGCGCCCGGTGGTAAGTACCAGCCTCGTGGCACGCTGAGGTCTCGGTCCTTTTTTTTTTTTGTAAATTGAGCTTTGATGTTCACTTTTATTACTATTAATTATATTTATAAAGACCTTGGTTGCTCTGAACAGAACCGATAATAAACTTGGAGACCGGTACTTAAAGTACAACTCCTATAATATTATTAGTAATATCATGATAGTTATCTTTGCGTAAGAAGGTGTAGTAGCTCCTGCCAGGTTCCAAGCGCAAAAGAGATCGTCAATGCGTCCTTCTCCAACACATGCAAAATCTCGCACAATCGTTCCACCATAGCACACACCTCCTCATATCTGTCTCCTACGTCAATCCAACTAAAACAAAAATAACCGATTGCAAACAATGTACATTACACTGTCTGAAAAAAAAAAAAAATCTGCGTTAACATGCCTTTTTTTCACAATGCCGCTTCCTACTGCTGTCAATCGCAGCACACGTTTTGTGGACGTTTGCCACTTTTGTTTTCTTTTTCTGGCTGAGATGTTTTTCA